CCCCAAAACCCCAAAACCCCAATGATTATAATAATAATATAGATAAGATATATGTAAATAATTATAAATATTAAAAATATGATATAATAAATCTTAGTCAGTAGTTTAGCATTACTCTTCATTCCAATTAGTGCAGCTAATTCCAAGAAATGCCCTTAGTATGTGTGCTCTGATAATGAGGTCTCAAATGACGTTTGCGCCTACAAACTAAGAACTTTAGACTTTGATGAAAAGATCTATATCACTTCTTGCAGTAAGTTTATCATAGTAATCATTCTAATTATAATCATAGAACCTGGCTTCTCCTGCCCAATTGAAGATATTAAGAATTCCGATGTCACACAAGTTAAATGCAAACCTACAGACAAAAAACTTCTATTAGACTACAATCACTATGAAAATGAGTATCATCTGATCTCATCCAGAATGCTAAACTCAGAATTGAGTTTTGAACATCCTTTGCTAAGCCAATCTAACAGTAAAACGTACTTACCAGGTGAAGCTTGCACTCAAAACTCAGACTGTTTCTCAAATACATGCACTACAAGCGGTGTGTGCAATGGAAAGAAACAAGATGAAGTCTGTGATTATGCCACCAATGAAGATATAGAATGTGATGTTGGATATTATTGCAATAAAGATAAAAAATCATGCTAGAAACAGGTAGAGGTTGGCGAAGTAAGATATTAAATTATTTGATTATTCATCTTAGGCTTGCAGCGATACAATCAAATGTGTGAATTGGGGTGTGTGCAATAAAGGAACCTGCTATTAAAGAAGATCTTTAAATGCTTCAGCTGAGATTGAGGGACCTAAATACAGAGATGTTTGCTACAACTTTTATGCTGTGACTGAGGAGGATGGAAAAACTTACTGCTCACCAGGACCATACTTGAATAACTCTCATGTTTGCAAGAATATTGATGACAAATGTTATTACTTTAGACTTGGCAATGAAGAAGGTACTTCTCATACTGTCACAGAGTCAGCAGATTGCTAGTGTGGCTACGGATAGAAAGGAAACGCATATTGCCCTTTCAAAGAAGGTGATGAGTAATTTACTAAGACTCTAGATTTGGCTTACAATTTCTGGATTAGAAAGCCTAAATGCCACATCAGCAATCCTCCAGGTTGTCAAGAAGCTAAAAATACTAAGGGTTACTACACAATTGTTGGGTCAAGACTTGAATTACTCTATGGTCATGAACTCATGGATAACAGTGAATGTTTTAAATAAGTTGGAAAGCATAACAGATATTGGAATGAGGTCAGAACTAAGATGGCTGATGAGATTTAAAAGGAAAGAGATGACGACGCTGCAGTCCTAAATCTTGGTCTTAGCATTCTATCATTAGTTGGAATTATCGTCATGAATGTATGATTTATTTTTAAATATTGGCAAGATCGAGAATTATTATCTTTGGGGTTTTGGGGTTTTGGGGTTTTGGGG